TTTTTTTTTTTTTTTTTTTGTAATTTTAAAGATTTGGTGGAGAAAGCGCAGGAAATTTTATGCGGAAGGTTTTCCTGTTGACATACGCCCTTTGTACCAGTATTCGTTTTTCCTGCCTTCTGGTGACATATACTCTTTGTAAAAATATTCGTTTTTCCTGCTTCAAACGGAGCTGCATTACTGGGTTGACTTTACGTGTGTGTGTGTGTGTGTGATTCGCTGTGTATTTCGTAAACTGAAATGTTTCCTACATTTTCTGTATCAGTTTCTCAAGCTTTTACATCGCGCCTCTCTTTTTCTCGTTAATACACTTTGCTCCCCGCCTCACAGTATGCGAACCACTATTATACATCTATGCATCAAGCGCTAATGGATGTTAAGACGTAATAATTAGGCTTAATATAGCGTATCATGCTGATACAGAAGCACCGAGATTTTAATTAACGAATGAGATAGAAGAAAGAGATTTGAAATTCTGAGTATTATTTAAAAGATTCCCCCCCCCCCCCAAAAAAAAAACGGTCATTTCATTACTTCTTACAAAACCTACAACATTTTATATAGACGTAGATGCATGAAATAACAGTTGTGTTTACTGTAATAGATGTTTCGTTCATTTCGCCTCGTTTATCCCAAGCTAAACTGATACGTGTTGACCCAGACAGACAGACACTTAGTCGTCGTTAAGGTTGAATAACACTCATGACTTAGCATAGATTGCAACGAAAAGAAACTATACTGACCTATTTCTAAATTAATTGAGTATTTTAAATAGTTATATAAAGTTATTACAACATATGGAAAATGTATAAAACAGTATATAATCTTCTCTGACCCCAAGTAAAGGGGGGGAATGGGTACACTTTACCAGAGCCCCAGTGGTTCAAGGGGTCCAGAATGCTACATAAGTCTATTGCCATAAGAAAATAATTCAACCTAAATTGTGCATGTTTGACTAAATGTTATTTACATGGCTAATTATATCCAAAGCCTCCTACGTTTTGTTCTAATATGTCGTGCGTGTTTTAAGTTTCAAATTGGTAAGATCGAATATCGTAGCCCGTTTGGCTTCCATCTTGTTTACAAGTGAAGTGTTGGCTGTTGCCTTAGTTGGCAGAAACCGAAAGATATTTCCAACAAGCTGTAACTTATAAAAAAAAAAAAACTGCAAACGATCTCTACTAGGTCACAAATTCTCTTCAGCCATCTTGTTGTTTTGTTTGTTGAGTGTGAACTTGTACGACCAGTTAACTTCTGTGAAGTCATGCGTGATTTTGCACTTCAAAAACAAAGACCAGAAAAGTAAAGTGATAAGACTTGTATACACCACTTCAGAAATAAAAAGAACTCAACTACTTAAAAAATGTTTTAAATGTTATAATTTTACTTTCGTTAACTAGTTTGTCGTTGTGGGAAGGGATGGTTGCCCTGGACGCAGCAAGATGTTGGGTGAGGTCCGATTCTTGTAAGAAATGAAAGTAAAATAGAATATTTTATGTTACATCTGTCATATCCAGTGCCGACAAAGCCTTTTGCTCAAGTGATATATAATATAGTTCATAGATTAATTAACATACGTTTCTTCAAAATCGGGCTGGGCGTGACTTAGTGGTTATATCGTACTGAACTGTTCATCCGAGGATTCATAATTCGAGTTCTGTTGCCGCAAAATCGCACTCTAGGTGCGTTATAAGAATGACGGTCAAGTACTATTATTCGAATAGAGTAGCCCAATAGTTGGCGGTGGGTGCTGTTAACTGAAACTCATTTTTACATGCCTACTGTTTATATAAAATATAAGATCGTTTTTATTGGAGGTCTGGGTGATCATAGGCACTAAATCATTAAGTTGTAGCGGTAATATTACATCTAGAGGGCGCATTTTGTATTTATCATTAGAGAAAACAAAGTTTACTATAATTTCTAAAAACAGCACGTGAATAAATAGTAATGGTGAGCAGAAGACAAGTTTATTTTCTGGTTTATCGTGTTTTTAATCACAATAAGTAATCGATAAGAACTGATCAATCAGTTATCCATTTACTACGTCCAAACTTTTAGTATGTGTTATGATAAAACTTATCAAAATATCTTATGTGTGATGAAGTTATAACTTCTGCCTATATAAAGCAGCTGAAGAATGTTTTGTACACCAAAACAATGCGTGCTGGATCCATTATTTTAAAACAAGACTAACGTTATAGTTTCGGGAAGCTAGGATCAGTTCTGGTTATGGAGTTATGTGATGAGTGCATTGCCATCTCGTGTTGGAAAATCACACTATTGAACTTGTATTATTACACTAAGGATGTGCGTATTATAGGACATATTCACTTCTTAATTGTTCGGCTCAGAATATATTTGTTTTCATATAAGTACGTTCAACAACTATGTTAAAGTCTAGTGCAGTTTTATGTGGTGGACTTGTTTGTTAATACCACTGATTTAAGTACCAGTTTTAAATAATTAATTGTTTTTATGAGAATTAGTACAAACGTTTGTTTTGTGAATATATATATATGTCCTTACAGAAACTCCTTTTGAAATTTTCATGTAGTCAAAGTATTAACAATTATCATAATTTTTGCCAAACTACCAGTTTCTTTAATTTTATGCTTTGATATTTAATAGAAAGAAGTTTGTTGTTAAACTCAAGCTACACGATGAGTTATGAGTGCTGTACCCACCATGAATACTTAAACCCAATTTTTTGTGTTATAAGCCCCAACATTAGTGCTGAGCCATTGGAGGAGGGGGGGGGGGGCGAAAACAGAGAGAGAGAAAGTAATAGAAAATGAACTGTATTGACGTAAAAAATTATATCATGCTGGAGAAACAACATAGAAAGTAATACATTAGGAAAACTACAAACATAAAAGTCAGTAACTTAAAGAAAAAAAAAAAAGACCTACAAAAAATAAATTGCCCATTTTTGTCACAGGCAATTTAACAGTCTTCTTCCAAGCATAAAAGTTAGGACAGTCCATTTATGTTCTTCCTTTTCTTTACAAATCGTGATTTAAATTTCAATTATATTTTCTACATTTATTCAGATTAACTTTTGTCTAAATATTAAAATTGTCTGGTTGTTAGAGCAATCGCCTCGAAATCTGCGGGTTACAGGTTTAAATCACTTCACTGAACATGCGTACCATTTCAATCATGGGGGTGTTATAATGTGTTGGTCAATCCCACTTTTCATTGGTAAAAAAGAGTAGCCCAAGAGTTGGCATTGGTTGGTGTTGACTAGTTACCTTACCCCTCAGCTATCATTTCTAAATTCAGGACATCTGCCCTCAAGAAGCTTTGCATGAAATTCAACATGAATAAACAAACAATATTAAAATCTGATTATACGGATTAATTAAATAGATGAAAAATATCCTCCCCGGAGATGATACTAAACTCTGGTTTCTCTATGCATATTGAGCAACATTTTTTTTCCTTTTTGCCATCATTTACCCCAAATAAAAGGTTCTTTTATTCAGGTGCTGGTCGAAGAAGACGTAGACTCGAAAAGGCTAAGAGTGGAAGAACATCCTTTTCCATACCCATTTCCTTCAGTGCCATGGGACTCGGCCTTAGCCTACTGGTACCATGCTACAACTGATCCGTGGACAAGTATGTCTACTTTCAAACCATGGGTATCCGTACCTGCTGTGAGCAGAAGTGGAAACTACCAATTTTGTGCACCACCTGTGCCATCTTACTTACCATATATTAAAGGCAGGTAAGTGATGGTTTGGTATGTTATGATGATCATCAAACCCTGATGATGATGATGATATGATTTGGACTGAGGTTCCGTTGACGAGAAGCAGATTTTCTTTGCCGCTATGGAAGCATCGTTAATACTTTAGTAAACTCTCATCTTACAAAAATATTCTCGTGTTAACAAAATAGGTAAATTTTAAACTTTCTGTTATAAGAAAACAAATACTGACCTAAAATGTAACGCAATTGAAAATACTAATGAAAAATGTCCTTTGTTGTTATGTTTGTGATCTGTTGTCATACCACTTAACACAATAAAACAACTAATTACAAAATAAGAAGAACCTGGCACTGTCTTTAGCGATAAGCATGCCTTGATTGTGAATCGGAGGATTCACGATTTTTGTTCCACTGCTGTAAAACTGGGCTCTGCATTATAACTGTGATGGCCAAATCCCACTATGTGGCCAGATAAGAGTAGTCTAGAAGTTTATGTTGACAGGCTGCCTTCCTTCTAGTGCATTAGTTGCAAAATAAGGAATAGTTGTGGCACACATAATGCCTGTGTAACTTTGTGAGGAAATTCAAACAAATACAAACAACATTATATAATGAAATAAACCAATCACGTGTAAGAGCATGAAATTCACTTCTGCAGAAATATCTTTTTTTTTTTTTTTTACCACTGCTGGCCAGAATTAGGTAGGATGAAACTAAGCCCAGAAATTAATTTTACTGCAATGAACTTGAGGTATGGTATAAGCCTCCGTATTGATTGTGCGATTTTCAGATGAAGGCTTGGGCAGAGCTATTTTATTGTTAACTTCTGGAACAGTTAGCTTGATAATCCAAATTCTCTGGTTTTTAATGCTAATTCTTTTTTTGTGTGTCAATATTTTGTTCCTGTACCTTCCCCAAATGTTGATATGCCATTGTTTTTTTGTACATACACCAGTATGACACCTACAGAGCATATAGTGATGCATTATTAGTAATAGTTGTTATTCTTGTGTGTACAGGAATGGATTGAGACTTTTCTAAATAAGCTTGGATCTCCTTCAAACTGCAGTTTTAGCTGTGTAAATGAAGATGACCAATAGACAATTCTTTATTAATTTCATAGGGGCATGGTCTTCCAATGATAACAGTAGTTTACTAAATGCTAAGTTGGTACAAGTTTTTTACCTTTTAATGCTTGGAGACGGCTTGAATGGGTAATGAAGAAAAACTTTAATATAAGTTTAACATAACAGCAAATGTACAAGGTTTTGTTACCATCAGATACATGACAAAACCTTGTTCATTTGCTGTTATGTTAAACTTATATTAAAAGTTTTCTTCATTACCCATTCAAGCCGACTCCATGCATTATTAGTCTCAAAGTGGGTTCCTCGTCATCAAATTTTTTACCTTTTATTTTGTACTTTTTTTTTATAACTATGCATCATGGGTCTTTTGTCAGCAAACACATTAGCGCAAGGCTGTGTTATATTATTTGAGTTTAAATATATGTTTATTAGTGTTTATTGATTGATTATTAGGATGATGTTGATGGAATAATTGGCTTTTATCTTGGTGCTGCTTCATTTTTTAAAGTGAATGTGTCAAATATATTTTCTTTCTTTAACTTTGAAAAGACAAGGAGTTCATTAATCTTAATTAGAACTTGGTTGGTCTAGAGTGATTTTGCATTGAGTTATAGGCCAAATCAATATTGTTAAAATGCCTGAAGATTCAGCCTAATTCAAAACCTGTCTTGTTCATTAAATGAAAATTCAATGAAATGTGTGATTATTTTACTATAAAGATGATCTATTATATGAATATTAGCTTCCATTATTCAGAGTTGGCTGGCTCCATTACCATAATTTTTGGTACAGCAACTGGAAACTGTCCAATGTATACATGGGATATTTTGTTTTAGGATCTTAGCCCACAAAGAGGGACAAAAGATACCCTGAAATAGGGCACATTTTGCTTTTTTTTCTTCTAATCTTTTGGCTTTTAATTTAAACACACAAGTACTTAATTGGTTAAATGAATAAAAATACAGAGAGTTGTAGAGTCACAAACTTTGCATATCGATAATCTGTGGGTTATTATAAGGTTTGACAACAGAAGCAATAAGAAAACGTTATTTGTAGAAATAAAACCTAAAAGAACACCTGAAACAAATACAGTAATATTTGTTAACTTTTCTCTTTTCGAATTTCCAGTGTGTCATCTTTGCTAACCCCAGAAGCTCACCTGTTTCAGAACCAAGAGAGGACTTCCCAAACTTCAACACCTGAAAGGTGATGTTATAGTGTTAGAATGTTTCATTTACATATACCATGATAGAGACCAAACCCAATTAAACTAACAGTTATCCAAAGCAATTCAATGGCAAGGTGTCATTATTATTATGATCTATTACATTAGCTTTCAATCGCTGATTCATGGGAGAGCCAGCAGCACAGAGAAAAAAAGTGTTGAGAAAGATTAAATTTCCTAAAACCTATGCCTTGTACAGGTGTTGGGATTACATGAAAAATGTTCAAACAGACCTCATAACTTTTGTGTTAAAACTTCTTGAAGAAGTTAAATTAGGAAGTGAGCGACACTTTGCGGACCTCTAGCCACCAATCACGACAATCCTTCACTATTGTCACAAGCTCAATCACAGGTCATAAGTTGTTTACAAAGGTTTTACTGCTGTGTGGTATTAACATTTGGTTGAATAATTGATTCATCAATATCTATTACATATTGACTAATTGAGCTAATATAGAAAAGATTATGATTTATTAATTTTCTTTTCCAAAACATTTTAATTTGTTTCTCCTAACTTAAGATCAATTTAGATATGGATTGATCTAAGCATAAAGAGAAACGTCACGTGGAACAGGTATTATGATAATCATCTGTTTTATTATCTTCGACTTGAAAAATGGGCAGTCAGAAGTATACGCACAAATTACACGCACACTAAAGGTGAACAAATACTTTCCTCTTACTCTCAGACTTGTAACTTTCAAGTACAGAGGAAGTATGATTTTTTAATACTTACAGAACTTGTAAAAATAAATGCATTTTTCGCTTCTTTTTTTCCTGCAGGGTTCACAGTCGCTCATCGTCAACAACACCAGTCCAGAAAATACGAAAACTTAGCAGTGAATTTAAAGAGGAGGATACATCAGACATTTGTAACACGAATGAGATAGATTTGAGGAAGAGAAAAGTTACAAAGAATCAGAATAACACTCCAGAAACAAAGGAATCATCTACAGTGTCTTTGGAACTGGAAGAAACTTGTAGTTCCAGTACATTGTGTGGTAAGTACCAGCTGTATCAGGCTTTGAAGAGAAATGAACAATTTTGTAGGTGTATGTGAAAAGTTATTTTGAGTCTTGATAAAAAAAAGTAAGTTTATGGACTAACTTGGTAACCCTTATACCTACCCAATGCATGAACAACTTGAGGATAGACTGGGAAGCTTAAGTTTGTTAACCCTTAAACCTACAGATGCATAAACTACTTGAAGCCAGACTGGGAAACTTAAGTTTGGTAACTCTTAAACCTAACAGATGCATAAACTACTTGAAGCCAGACTGGGAAACTTAAGTTTGGTAACCCTTAAACCTAACAGATGCATAAACTACTTGAAGCCAGACTGGGAAACTTAAGTTTGGTAACCCTTAAACCTAACAGATGCATAAACTACTCGAAGCCAGACTGGGAAACGTAAGTTTGGTAACCCTTAAAACTTAACAGATGCATAAACTACTCGAAGCCAGACTGGGAAACGTAAGTTTGGTAACCCTTAAAACTTA